GCAACAAGGTGCGGGAGATGTTCATGAAGAACGCCCATGTGACGGACCCGCGCGTGATCGACATGCTGGTTGGTGAGGTGGTGATACGAGTTACAGTGACATTGATAAGCTTGCTAATGTTCCTTGATGGGTAGCCCTGTCGTTTGTTTAAAAAGCAGAAAACATCCGTGTCTTTGTACCAAGCAAATATGGAAGATTTGCTGAACTGTTTGTGCCAAGTAGAGGCAGGGAGCTCCATCAAGTCTTTGCATCGAGCTGGTGAGCTTGTTCTGCTTTGAATCAGCTAGCTTTGTGAAAGCAGGTTTTGTACAGTCAAAGCAGGGAGCTCACTGAGCGCGTGTGAAGACCTGGTTCTGCCAGCAGACTGAAGACTGCAAAGTCTACTTGGACATCCACCACAAAAAGCCTGAGCATGTGCAAGGAGGCAAAACCCTATGTTAATGATTTTGAGGGAAGTTTTGAGTGTGGGAAACCCTTTTCATATATGACACATGTATGTATATAAGCTGAAGATCTTTTGTTCAGAGTATGTGTAATTAGGTGGAAGGATCCCCTTGTGCATCTAGCGTCAAAAATAAAGAATTCCTGCTTTCAAACACTCCATACTGTGTCTTAGGGAGTTTCCTGATCTACTGATTTAAGTGCTGAGTGGTATCCGCTGGGAAACTGTCCTTAAGGGCATGGGTACAGAACAAAGCTGGCAGCTCTTTAAGAACACCTTTCTGAGAGCACAATGGCTTTCCACCCCCCAGCAGAAGAAGTTGAGCAGGAGAGGCAAGCGACTATTGTGGCTGTGTAATGACCTACAGCTTAAACTGAGAGAAAAGAGGGAAATGTACAGAAAGTGGAAGCAGGGTTGTGTACCCTGGGAGGAATACAGGGCTGTTGTCCATGTGTGTAGAGACAGGGTTAGGAAAGCCTAGGTGCAGATGGAGCTGAACTTGGCAAGGGATGTGAAAGATAACAAGAAGGGATTCTTGTCAGGTACATAGGCAGGAAGAGACAGGCCAAGAAGAGTGTTCCCCCTCTGATGAAAGGTAACAGGGAGCTGGCTTCCTCAGACATAGAAAAAGCTGAGGTACTCAGTGAATACTTTGCCTCAGTCTTCACGGGTGGTCAGGCTTCCTGTGTCTGCCAGGACTGTGAGCCTCTAGGTGAGGGTGTGGGGAGTGGTTTCTGTTGCACTGTAACAGTGGAACAAGTCCAAGTCCTCCTCATGAAATTGAATGCATATAAATCCATGGGGCCAGATGATATCCATCCTAGGGATTGGAAAGAGATGGCTGATGTGGTTCCCAAGCCACTCTCCATCATATTTGAAAAATCATGGCTGTCTGGTAAAGTCCGTGGTGACTGGAAAAAGGGAAACGTTACTCCCATTTTTTAAGAAACGGAGAAAGGAAGACTTGGGGAACTACAGGCCATCTCTGTGTCTGGGAAGATCATGGATCAGATCCTCCTAGAAGGTATGTTAAGGCACATATGAGATAAAGAGGTGATATGAGACAGTCAGTGTGACTTCACCAAGGGCAGATCGTGCCTGACCAATCTGGTGGCCTTCTATGATGGAGTGATGGCTTCGGTGGATGGGGGAAAGGCAGTGGATGTCATCTACCTGGACTTCTCCAAGGCCTTTGACATGATCCCTCACCACATCCTTCTCTCTAAATTGGAGAGGTATGGATTTGAAGGATGGACTGTTTAATGGATTAAGAATTGTCTGGCTGCATGCAGCCAAAGGGTTGTGATCAATGGTTCTGTGTCAGAGTGGAGGCTGGTCACAAGCAGTGTCCCTTAGGGGTCAGTCTTGGGACCGATGCTCCTCAACATCTTCATCAACTACATAGACAATAGCATTGAGTGCACCCTCAGCAAGTTTGCAGATGACACCAAGCTGAGCAGAGCAGTCGATACATTGGAAAGAAGGGAAGCCAACTAGAGGGACCTGGACAGGCTGGAGAAGTGAACCTATGAAAACCTAATGAGGTTCAATAAGGCCAAGTGCAGGATACTGCACTTGGGTCGGGGCAATCCCAGGTATTTATACAAACTGGGGAAAGATCTCTTTGAGAGCAGCCCTGTGGAGAAGGACTTGGGTCTCCTGGTAGACAAGAAGCTGGACACGAGCCAGCAGCGAGCGCTTGCAGCCCAGATGGCCAACTGTGTTCTGGACTGTATTAAAAAAGGGGTATCCAGCAGGGACAGGGAGGTGATTGTCCCCCTCTACTTGACTCTTGTGAGACCCCATCTGGAGTATTGCATCCAGGCCTGCGGCCCCCAGTACAGGAAGGCTGTGGAGCTCTTGGAGCAGGTCCAGAGGAGGACCACTAAGATGATCAGAGGGCTGGAGCACCTCTCCTATAAGGAAAGGTTGAGGGAACTGGGTTTGTTTAGCTTGGAGAAGGCTCCAGGGAGACCTCATTGTGGCCTTCCAGTACTTGAAGGGAGCATATGAACAGGAGAGGGAACAGCTGTTTACAAGGGTGGATTGTGATTGGACAAGGGGGAATGGTTTTAAACTGAGACAAGGGAGATTTAGGTTAGATATTATGGGGAAGTTTTTCACACAGGGGTTGGTAACACACTGAAACAGGTTGCCCAAGGAGGAGATTGTGGATGCCCCATCCCTAGAGGCATTCAAGGCCAGGCTGGATGTGGCTCTGGGCAGCCTGGCCTAGTGGTTGGCAACCCTGCATATAGCAGGGGAGTTGAAACTCAATGATCATTGTGGTCCTTTTCAACCCAGGCCATTCTGTGATTCTATGATTTACGGTAACAATTTGGTGAACCAGATAGTACTATCCTCTTGAGCCTCCACAGTTCCTCGGATCAACAAACCTCAGCTGGCTCCGAGGTATTCTCTGGAGAACCCTGATTCCCAAAATCCTTGCTAGGACAGGGTTATTTCACATGCCGCAAAAGAAGGGGCATTTAGAGGTAGGATGCAGAGAGATGGGTACCAGATATTTCCTTGGTAACCATGGAAGCTAGCAATTGAAGGGGATTGGAGGCTTTGTTCTTGAGACCACATCTTTCCATCCCATCACTTGTCATCTGCATGCGTGGGTCACAAAAGTCATTATAAGAGAAGCTTCTCAGTCACCTTTAAGCACCCAGCTCCCTTTTTCTCCAGCCAGTCCACTCAGTCGCAGTTCTTTCTCCTAAAACCTCGCTGTAGAGCTGTTCAAAATGTGGTGGGTACTTACAAGCTAACAAATGGTCCAACTTCTGTGCAAACACATCTTTGTCCCGTCATCCAGGTAATTAATAAATATGTTAAACTTTAACAGCAGCAGTGTGGATATCTAAGGGAAGTCATCAGTGATCAGCCAGCAGCTGAACTCTGTATTGCTGATCCCAGCTCTCTGAAATCCACAGACCAAATGTTATTCCACCCACCTTATTTTCTATCTTATCAGTCATTATCACTCTGATTGATCTAGAAAGGTACTGCAGGAGAAGGTATCAAAGGCTTTGCCAAAGTCACACATGTCCAACCCAGAGCCAGTGGGCTACATGCAGCCCAGCATGATTCACAATGCAGCCCTCTCTCTCCCTGACATTTAAATGTGGTGGCTCTTCCCTGCACAGTGGCCCTGGGCACAGGCCCATAGCTCAGCATCACTAAAGACATCTGTGTGCTATAAATGCTGTGTCAACTGAAAGCAGGGCACAGGGCGGGCTGTGCTGTGCAGTGCTGACTCAAGCGATGTCAAATAATTGCATGCACCTTGACCCAGGTGCAAGACCTTGCACTTAGCTTTGTTGACCCTCATGAGAGTCTCCTGATCCCACTCCTCCAGGCCATCTTGGTCTCTCTGTATGGCATCCTGTTCTTTGGGCATGTCAACTGTAAATCACAGCTTGGAGCTGCAAAACTGAAAATAAAAAAAGGAAAAAAGTCAATTTACACTTGCAAGATCATTTTCAGTTGATATAAATACATTCCAACTCTAAGGATTCTATGGCTCTATGACCTGCACCCTTTCAAATCTGAGTTGCTGTCAGATATTCAACTCTAAAATCTGATCGTGACTTTTTACAAGACTTTCATAATCCCCATCTTAGCAGAGAAAAATAACCCTCATTTCACAATCACACTGTATTCATGTCATCCCTTATTGGCAGTACACACATTTTGAACGATTACTGTTGAGGATGAAATACAGGAAGAGCAAAATTTCATCAAAAATCTCTGATGAATACATTCAGACCTAACTAAGAATTGCAACCACTGCCATTGAACGAGATAGGTGTGTTTTCTTCAAAAACAAGGTCAAATATCTCAATAGTTTTATGCATTTGTTCCTCTCCAGTTTTTTGGGTTGATTTTTTTTTTCTTTTTTATGTTTTAAAATATTAAAAAAATATATTAAACCAAAACGTCTTCTAACATATATATTAACAATACTGTGTATGTTATGAGGGGTGCTTAGAAAATAATGCTTCCAAATGTCAGAAGCAGATGATGGTGGCATCACAGTGGAGGTTGAACCCTCCCATAATATTCCCTTACATTTTGTTGCTGTGTGAAAGAGAGCAACAGAGGGGCATTCTAACAAAATGGCATCTAACATGCAAGCGCATATGAAGCAAAAATGTGTCACCAAATTCTTCCATGTGCAAATAATTGCCCCCATTGATATTCATCAAAGCTTGTTGAATGTTTACGGAGACTAAACATTGAGCACAGCGAGGCAGTGGGTGGTATATTTCCGCAGTGGTGACAGTGGGTCATCTTCGCTGGTACGGGTTGTTGTGAGCACAGCGTGCAGGGTCTTGTTCATTGCTGATGAAACTATGTAGCTAATGGTGGTGACTATGATGAAAAATGCTGTTTTATACCTGAGAATTTTTCTATCAAATAGTG